CTTTCAGGAAGCAATGAGCACTGCATTAGCACCCTAACCCAAGCTGCTGTTAGAGACCTAACCTATGGGCAATGGCCTCTGCTACCTCCTCCACCCTTCCCAGGTGACAGATCTCTCCCAGGGCAAGGTGAAGCATGAAGCCCTAAATATTGCACCTGAGGCTATCTGCCACAGAACAAGCAAACAGGAAATATCAGGGGACTGAACAAGGATTACTCCAGATGGATCATGAGAAAGAGATGTCTGTAGAGTAACAGTTCGTTTATCATCCACATTTAGTACAGTTCGGACATTGCTGCTGCTCTTCCAAGTCATATGTTTCTAGTCAAAACTGTAATCATGTGTCTTTCCAAAGGATGCTTCTTTGGGAAACTTTCCACTGGCAACAAGGGGAGATCAGGTTTTGATTTGGAGTCAGGATGGAGATTTTCAAGCAACACCCCTGTTCTGCTTACAAGCATTTGCTCAGATCTACATTGCAGACCTCTTGCACTACAGATTATGCTGATACTACAGTCTACAAAGTGTGACATAATATTTTTTAGATATTTTTCAGGAAAATGGTCAGCATATCTTTAAAAGAATTTAAAAAAAAACAATGGGTGTAACTCATTATCTGTTTCTCCACCTACTAATGGAAACTGTCCTGGATTTGTAAATTTAAATCCTTTTTCTCAGGGGGCTGAAGTATGAAATTCTGAGAACTTCAGAAATAAGCCAAACCTGGTTTCTAATGCATCTGTGCTTTGAGCATGATGGGCTTGATTTTTTTTTTTACTGTGGGAGGGTCACTAAGGGCTGACACTGATGTCTAGCAAACTGAAGCATTTCATCTTAGTCCAGGGACTCATGTCCATATTTTTCTACAAGTTAATTAACTTCTAGTCTTTGATGCTTTGTGAAATTTCTTTGCAACCAGCCATTGCCTCATGAACAGAAACACTACCTAGGTACATTCACATGCACTCATAGACCAGTGTGTATGCAATACAATTACTAAAGCTTTGTGTCTCTAAGAACTGTTTCTTAGAAGCACAATGACTTAAAGCCTTTCACTCTGCAGACGGAAATGAAGAAGTATACCAGATGTTTGCTAAATGTTCTCAAAAATATTTGAGAACAGACGATTTTTTTTTTCTATTACCTCTGACAATCTTCAAATCATATTTTAAAATGCTGCATAGGCATTTATAGTTGTAGTTTCTTTCATTCGTTAAATTTATCCATTTAAGTCCCATACACTTTTTTCATCTTTTTATATCAGATAAATTTGCTATGAACTTGTTATTCCTCAGGGCCTGCACCAGTGGGCTCTTTTCAGTTTAAACAGCTGTATTGTTACAATTTCTTTTTATATACGACTTGAGGGTACCCATTTACTTTACAATTAAAAATATAGGACCTACAAATGTTGAGCTAACCAGACTGTTAATTGGGATGTTGGCTTTGCGCTTTCTGGTATAAATAGAAAATGTTCCTTCTGAAACTGAGTGGTTCAAAGGTTCATGTGTTAGCTTCCTTGGATTTCTCAGGTTACTCATTTTTTACTTTTCTGTGTCCTTATTGTCCAGAGATTAATCTTATAGTTTTGCACACCCCATGTTATCTTTTCTATTCTCTGCTCCAATGACGGCCTTTGCCTTTGTAGAAATTAGTGCAGAATGTTTTCTTCAGAGGTGGCCAGCAAAAACTGAGATATCTTTAGAGCAAAATCATCAGTAACAAAGAAAGCAATCTTATGTTTGTTATTGCGAAACTTAAGTATTTGATTTTGCTATCTCTTGTGTATGTGCCTGAGATTCTCCTTCACCTCTTTTAATAGTTCTGTTCCGTTCATCTGAATCCTCAAATGCCCATAAATTTGTTTTGTTTTAATGTAAAATTAGAAGCATAACTGCTTGATAAATGGGAGCATTCCTCTGTAAATATACAATACAATGTCAGCATGTTTGTCATTTGATTTCTGAGTGGAATGTAATATATTAGCTGTGAATAGCTTACGTCCTGTTGCATAATGTGGGATTCATGTAACTAAATGTAGATGCCGCTGAGCCAGTACCTCATTATACTCAGCAGAGACGAAGGGGAACTTTCAGGGTTCAATTCACCTCATGCTAAAGTAGACATATGAGGTTGCAACCTACCTTTATGTATTTTTCTCCACACAAAAAAATTTGGAAAACCGCTCATATTTCTCTATATCTACTGGGAAGAAACAACTTGATTAGCTCTGATGCCTATGCATATCACAACCAAACTCTCAAGGTGAGTTAGGAATACCATAACTAGAGACCGCTTAATTTCCCTGAAACATAACTGAATTTTTACTCAAGTTGCTCCCTGATTATCCTCTTCTCAAGTGAAAGCTGTTGAAAAGCGGCCAGTAACTGGCCAAAATGCCTAACTTCCTTCTAGCCTGCCTCTTTGGAGACAGTCAAGAGGATTTTAAAATACCGTTTCCTGAAACGCAATCTATGACCATGAAGTCTCAGTCAAGGGTAAAGCTAATTTATCAACAACAGGAGCAAGAACATTCAGTACAGGTGTTCTTTTACTGACCACTTTCTGGCCTTGGTTTAGCCACAGAACATAAATGCTTCTCCACTGACACTTTAAAGGTTTGTCAATGAATCTAAAGCATTACCTACAGCTACAATCATTCATGGGTATGCATATTTATGAAGATAATTTTTTGGTTAAAGTCTTGTTTTCTGTCTCACATTCACATACTTAAAGGCCTTGTTAGAGTCCTGTTTGAAGTCTGATATGACTTGTGGGTTCCCTTCTCCTTAGTCTTATAATGCTGAGCAGCAGCTGATGAGCAGCATCTGATGTGTCTCCAAAAGATTCGTCAGCTTGGAAAGAATTTCTGGAAACATGTAGAACTTCTCAGCTAGCCTACATGTTTTGAGGACGCCATTAACCAGCTCTGGCCTACGAGCTAAACATAGCAGCGTTCAATAACGTACTGTTCAGGACAAAAACAGCAACTGAGGATGATGCTGCATGTCAGCACACATGATGAGAAGGAAAAGGTCACGGTACAAGGCAAAGATGATGAGCAGCAAGGCAGGTGACAACAGGTCTGTTGACAGCATCCTCACACTCAGGACTGACATACTCAGCAAAGGTGGACTTGGCAGATGGCCACACATCACGGAAAACAGTACTGTGCATGGGAACAAACTTCAGAGTGCTGTTAAAAAGGGCTGTTAGTCTCACTCCTGAAAACTAGGCTCAGTTTGCTGAAAAACTGAAGAGACAAGGAGTCTGTAAAGTCTAAGATGATGTTTGGGGTTTGATAGGAGCTATTTTGAGTTTCTTACGTCCAAATTAATACCAGCACGTTTCCCCTGACTCTTCCAGAATAACTGTAGTATAAAATTAGTCTTTGTAAGAAAAAAGGAACTGTAAATTTATGGAACAATACAAGAATAACAATCATTTATTAAAATTCATCATTAAAATTGCATTTGAAATACACAGCATTAAACAATTAGTGAAACAATCTGAAGACTGTGAACTATGGAAAATCCTGAAAAAAAACCCAGAAATTCTAGTAGACAATATCTAAAAATTCAGCTGACCTATTGCATTAAATACAAACAGTGATCACACAGCAAAACTGGTAAAACAAAAAAAAACCAAAAAACCTAAAGCATACTAAACAAATCTAATGGTTTATCTGTTCCATTAATGGTTATCAGTAACCAGGTTAAAACCAGCACTGTAAAATAATTTGCTGCATACCCATATGCATTTTAAAATTTGATTTTTTTTTTTCATAAAAAGTTTATTTGTAATAATTATTTTGGAGCTTTTTAAGACTTGCAGCTTATAGTTTCTCTGATTTTTACTAATGCTGTGAATTACTTGAATTTAAGACTGCATAAATAAATATTTTTTTACCATTAGATTATTTTAATTACTTCAAAGTATAATGAACATCCATAAAAAGTAAATAAATGAACATTTAATTATGGAAATTTGCTATTGGTTACTACAAATTACTTCTAGAATGGGCATGTTCTTTTACTAGTCTTAATTACTGTAATTACAATTTTTGCATGTTAATTAGTATTGTTTTGGCACGGCAAATTCCACCCATCTCTGTGTCTCTCAGAGTAGGTAAGCACACACACTCTTAGGGTTTATTTTGTATTTTTTTTTTCTTTCTATATCTAGTACATGTAAATAAGGAAAATAAATTCACAGAGTATGTTCAAATTAAAAAGGGACATAATTCTATCAAGTCAAAATGAACATGAAATCAATTTAGACTTTTCTTTAGAGCGTTATATATCTCTGCCAGAAACAGGAAAATTGAAACATTCATGACGTATTTCACTAAAATATTGACAATACTTAGGAAGAATACGATTTATATAAACACAGATAGCATGACTAAATAAAAAACCCCAATTATTAGAAATCTAACCTAATTTAAAACTAAAGCATAAGAAATAACATCCTAACCTGAAAAAAATAAAATGGATTTTTTGTCAGTGAATAGGTCATATTAGGCCAATGCTGTTCTCATTCTTACTTTAATTGCCCTGACAGTTTTATGTTTTGTAGACCCTTGGATTTGTAAATTTTAAGTATTTCCCAGGAAGCCTGTTAGGGATGGGATGTAGAATGCCACCAGTCCAAGAGTTTCACTCACTGGCAGTTGCAGTGAACTGTAAATTAGTGAAACTCTGCACGTCTTAGATTAGAGTGGGAAACGCAGGAGCCCTGGGACTGAACATGGCCTGCAACTTTGTTGCATGTCACTTGGGATTATATAATTTTTTCCTTTACATTTTTTCTGACTAACATTCAGCTAGGCTTTAATTTATGGCCTACCAGTGTGTCTGAAACAGCCGTTTGGACCTCAGTAAGGGAGAGAATATTCCAGGTTCAATTGAGTACATAATATCATACTTTGTGCCCTCTTGAGTCTTCCATGGAAACCATGGATCGCTGAGATGGACAGTAGCTGTTAAGAGTGTACTTACTGCATTGAAGTTGGGGAAGAGATTGACTGCTGCGGCCGTGTCCAGAGGAAACGGAAGAAATGGTTTAATATCCAGTGATGGCTGCAAAGGTGGAGCAGGAGGACGCACTAGGGCTGGAAGAGCAGGGCTCTGGCATGTACCACCTAGATGCAGAAAGAGACAGAATGCATTCAGCAAGTACTACAATGGAGGGGGGGGAATAATGCCAATAGAAAAAAAAAAAAAACCAACAATAAAAAGCCAATATTGGATTAAAGAAATAAATTTTTATTTGTCCACAAATTACTGCATTATTGATAAAGAGGACAGCTGATTCAGTGACTGTTGGTTATAAGTCTTTGCCAGTAATTTCTTCAGGTATCAATCTATCATTATTTAAAATTAGCTAAAAAAAATTTATCTTCCTGTATCATCTGGAATGCTAGATCAGCATATGTCTGACGTTAGGACTCCAACTAGTCTCATTCTGCTACAGTTTCAGCACTCCACCCCAAATCTATTGCTCTATCCTCCAAAGGCAAACTGTTCCAGAAGAAAAAAAGCACAATAACTCGCTGTCCAGCTCAGCAAAATCATACCACTTTCAAACTTTTGATTTTTTAATTAAATGCTCCTTCACGGACCTTACAGCTTCAGAATCGACCTAAACCTCACAAAAACAACATACCTTGCTGTCTCAACAGTTGATCAATACACATCTAAACTAAGAACAACTGCAGCAGCCCCCGAAATTCTGTTTATGGGAAGGTAGGGATGAACACTTTGTGCTCTTGCAAGGAATGAAGCTGATTTAGACTCTACGTCAGCAAGCTCCTCCTGGCTAATGCTACCAACCACCAACTCTGTGGGAACATAATGCAAATGAAGAAATCCCCTTGCATACCAATAAGTCACTACCTGTTTGCAGCGGAACCTATTTTACTTATTTGTTTGTCCCTTGCCCCAGACAGCTAAAAGCTGGAAGGATCCAAGCCCATTCTCTGCTTCCAATGTCTCCCCTGTTTTGATTGCACTCCAAAACATCAATTCCCTGTTAATTAAAGACTATTTGGATGCTAGGAAACTGTTAAAATATGCCAGTGTTCTTCTAATCTGAGAGGCAGGCAACAGACTGTAAAAACCTGCTGGTAAGAGTCCAAGAAGCATTAAGAGAAAAAAAAAAACAAAAAGAAAAAAAAGAGGAGTTTTACCCCACTCACTGAACAGAGACAGAAGCAGACAGACCAACAGAGGGAGAGATCTGAAATCTGCTTCTTCTTTTCCTCTTGTACATACAGACACTTCATTAGAAGAGCTGCATACATTCTTTAAAAGCCCATATATAAAGCATTCAGAATGATATACAGGATCTCTCCATGTTCGGCCAGAAAATCTGCTAACAAAGTTTGCAATTTAATACATCTAATTGAGGGCTAACAGCACAGGATTTAATTAACCAGTTGTAGCAGATCACACACAGTTCTGCTTCTAGGTATAAAATCAGCCGGAGCCAAATTTTCAAAGACAGTATTTTTTGCCAGCTTTCATCTCCTCTCTGAAGCATTTCACTAGGAACTATTGAAAAGAAACCATTACCCACTCGTAAACCAAAAGTTTGAATTAGGGTTCACTCCAGTCTCATGCTAGTTTTTGCCCTAGAGTAACTGCCATTTATTGGAGTAATTTCTAAAGTTACCTGAATGCAAGAGTGTATGAAATCACTCTTCAAATGCAACAGCTAAGGATATGGGCAAGCAGCTCTGCTTTCCATAGCTCACCAGCATAGAATCATCAATTATTTCATGATAGCCATTGGTTTGGCAATTGCTACATTCCCATGGCATTTTTACAAAAACAGTGTAAGAATAAATTTAACAGGTCAGAATGACAATAAAGTAGCGTTGAACAGGACAATCCTACCCACTCTGAATAAGAAAAAGCCATAGAGATTTTTTTTTTTTGATGATGGAAATAATTTTTCTCATGTAAAGCTTTTACAGATGAAGGGGATAAGTCACTCCTACTAAGAAAAACCTTACTAAGAAGTCCCCAGGTTGCACCTGAGACTGTACAGAATCACACAGAAATGCCAAGATAAGCATTTGCCTGGCAATAGCAAAGAATTTGAAGCTATCCTACAACTCACAGATGCAAATGTAAACTGGACTGAGAAATACCACCTGTGCTTGGGAATCCAGCTCCTTGAGTGTAGTACCTCAGTGAGGAGAGCCTTGCAGGTTCAGATTACCTAGAGCAACAGCACTGCTATCCCATACTCTTCTAGGATACCGTGCCACGAACGACGAAATATTTCTATTCTGTGATCCTTCCTTGTGCCATGACTCAGTGGCACCCACCCACCTGCCACTGCCAGACAGCGCTGCACAAAGTCATCTGGGGATGAAAACACACTTTAAAAGGAAAAATTCAGCCAGCTCTGCAGGACCTTGGCTGGGACTCAGAGCCTCTGGAACAGTTTAAAATCTAACACAATCCTGGCTATAGTGGCACAGAAAATGTTCAGGAGCACAGCTGCTCTCTGTGCAATAGTGTCATACAAGTCCCTTAATGATGGAACACGTGATAGATAACATGAAATCTCAGCTTTTGCTTGAAAGAAATTCTCTATGTTTATGGCTGCAAAAATTAGCTTCTCTTTCCCCTTAACTTTCCCTTTAACATGCACAGAGTTGTAGTCTAGAATCAGCAATAGAAAACCTGAAGCAATGGCAACCATTTTTGTGACTCAGCTTAACTGAAAAACCGTTGGACAATATTTGAGAATGTCAATGTTAATGATTTCCAATCTAAGTCTGAAGTCTTTCTAAACAGTAAAAGTCTTTCTGGCCCATTCAGATCCTAAATGAGAGCTGAATGTTTCAGATATTTGGGAAATTCATGTCAATGTTTTAACCTCGTTTTTCTTCATAGGAAGCACAGGAATAATACAACTTAGAAACTTAATTAGCTCAGCATTTTAACCAAGATCAATGTAATCATTTGTTTCTTCAATTTTCAGGCAATTTATAACACAGGCAAGATAATCCCTTGGCCAAAGGCACTGGCAATACATCCAAGGTAAATGTGAGCAAACAAGTTTGAAGAAAAGCTTACCACAAACCTCTGCCCCTTCATATACCTCACTAAGACAGTTTTTGAGAACTCTCTCAGTGTCAAGCAAACCGTGCATTTTTACACATGGATGTACTTCTGCATCTCCAGTTGGGACTAGACATTTTGTCCTACCACTAGGTAATCTGTTTTGCAATACAGCATTATGCTCTGAGCACAGAGCTGCGGTGTGCAACATGAGGTTCATGCTCTTTGTGGCATAGCCTACTCAAGTGGTTCTCCTTCAGAAACCACTGGTAATAGGAAATTCATCACTATATATTTCTTGCCTGTACCTGAAACCAAGAGAAAATGACAGAAACAATCAGGTGAAGAGACGATTCCTGCAGGTCCAGCCTCAAACTATCCTGCCTGTAACAAATTGCCACATTTTATTTGTTTTAAGTTGAAATGTGAATAAATATATTTATTTCCTCCCCCCCCCCCCTCAGCTTTGACTTTGGAGATCATGTTCCACTATGGAATTGAAAATAGATATTAAAATGAGAAGCCATTCCAAAAAGAAGAAATGAAATTTCTTTAAAATGCTAAAATTATGACCTTATCTTAAAGACATTTTTGTCTCAATTCTTTAAAAAAAAAAAAAAAAAAAAAAAAAACCACCTTCTGGGGGAAATTTTTGCTTTCAATTAAATAGCTTTTTCTGATAAGAAAGTCTCCCATGTAGATTTTTGTGCTCAGTTCACCTGAAATATCCCTCAGATGAGTGCTAGGTAAAGAGTATAAACAGTGGTAAGTACTGCCCCTAAAATCTGGGTTAAGAGAAGCACAGAGACTGAATATGCACAAAGGAAACTAAAGAAAATAGAGTAAACAGACATGATAGAGCAAGCTTTTTTTATACACAGGATAATAAATAAAAAGTTTTCTTAAAGTTCCTGGAGGAAGTCAAGATCTCTATCCCTCAGATCCCCTAACAAACAGCTCAACAATTTGGCAACTGCATATTGCTCTATTTTGTGACTTGGCTACAGAGAAGGACATGCTACATCTTCCCCTGCATAGCCTTATTCATGCATACTCTTATTCCCAATCCTGTAAACTCAACTGTAGATTTAGTTTCCAGAAAAAGAATCAGCAGATCTATTATCAAATAGCCTCTCTTAAGGAAATATCCAGCCCAGATTTTGCAGGCACAAATAATGTAGATAATATTTTGCAATGCGTTTGGAATTTGGAGGTATGTAAACTGGGCAGGAACCCTAAACTATTACCCCATTAGTCTAAATTTTTTGCAGTTCTTCCATCACTATTAACACCATAAACACTGAGTGAAAAAGCAAATCTCTGCAGAATTCCATTTTCATTCCTTCATTACTTTGCAATTCTTTCCTTCTGGCTACATGTACAGCCATTTGCAATACATTAGAGGCACCCTAAACTAATGTTCAATTTCCCTTCAATTCTGCAGTCTGGATTTATTTTCAGTGTCATAATTTGGTTTCTACAAGATACGGATATTCTGAAGTTTTTCATCCCATCTCCCACTATTTCCATGATAGGTTATTTGGGGTCAAAATAATATACACCTTCTGCCTTGGCAGAAGCTTAGAGGACCTTTCAGCTGGTATGACTCAGTGGAGTACCTGGGAGTGTACTGCCGGTTTCCAACTTAAAAGTTAACTTCTAAAGTAACTCAAAACTGTAACTTCAAAAAGTATCATTAATATTTTTCATATAGGATCCTTATATCTGACAGTTCACACTCAGTAAGTGTTGCAGTATATCCTAAAGAGCCTGACTCAAAAGAAGATTTTTTTCCTAGAAAATTTTCAAGAAAACTAACTCAGTTTATTTTAAAGTATAAAACTGAAAAGATATGTGGGACACATGTTCTATCTTATAAATGCTAAGAAACTTACATCTAGGTAATATCAGTTATAACTTTTTATTCGTTAGGAATTTAGTTTGCCAGCGGGCCAAAGAAAAGGTAGATTTGAAAAGATTTTCTTCAAAAAGACAATAAAGACATAAGTAATTAAGAACAGTAGGCTAGCCATGATGAATAATAAACTGGTTTTTTTTTAATCTAAAATAGTAGATAACACATTTAGGTCTTCAGAGAATCT